AAAAAAAAACACAGAGTCCTGAAAGTCTTTTCAAGAACTGGAACTTTTTTGAAACTAGTTTAAGTACAGTATAATTACCAGCAGTATGTATTAAAGAGAGTCGCTTACATTGTGCTTTGAAGTCTTGCTAGTAATTCTGCTGTTATTGGACCTACTTGAAATTTTCACAACACGTTAATTTTGCGAATTTCGTGATTTAAGAGAAATTGCAAATTTCAAGTGACACGAATAAGTAAGTGTCGGGAACATAACACATTATGTTACTGTTGACATATAGTACTGCCATTGCGCTTTTGTTTCTTTTGACGTTATTGTACCTTTGATGAAGTCAGTTTACTAAATTGAAGAGACATGTTTAGGTAACATTACCAAGGAAATAAATTTGGTGGAACTCAAAAGCGCAAAGTTAGTGTGATTCAAAATACAAAATTTTTGCAAAATTGCCGAATTTAAGAGTCGCGAAATATGCGTACCCCCAAATTGCGAAATAAATGTGCGCGAAAATTTCATGTAATAAGGTAGCCAACAACAACGTTTGGCTAGTAAAAAAAGGTTTTGGCTAGTAACATCTGAGTTATCACTAGCCACTAGGCTAGTACGTTGAAAAGTTAGTGTCGAACCCTGAATTAATTAATTTTTAGTGCTGTTTAATGCTCTCTAATTGAAGAGTAAACTCTAATATTGTCAAGCTTTGTGTTTTTGAAAATGATAGAATTAAAATTTTATATCTTAAATATTGGTGGAATTGATAAACAAGTAAGATTAGTGCTGTCATTAATCATCTTTGCTGCCTTTTTTTGTAGGAATTATCATGTGTTTTACTATTTACTTGCTGGAACAAGTCCTGAGGAAAAAGAGGAGCTCCACCTCACAAAACCAGAGGAGTATTGTTACCTTAATCAGGTAAGCACTAACCAGCGGGCCTGGAAAGAAATTTGTGTCAGATTAGCATGCACCAAGTGGATTCTGCAGTCATGCTGGTTGACTCTGTTGGCCAAGTAAAGATTTTTTAGCGGTAAAACTTGGGAAAATTCAAATTCAGAAATACCCTAAGAGATCAAATTAAGATTGTCATAGGTTTTTTAATAAATACTACTGACAAAATTACTTGATTCTGATTGGTTAAGTGGAGTGCAGTTCAAGTCAGAAAAAAAAATTATAATGAAGATTTCTGAAGTTAGCATGAAGACACTAAAAGACTACAGAGAGTCATCTGAGGTGTTTCAAAGGTGTTTGAAGTTTACCGAAAGCCTTCTCACTTCTACTTCAGTCATTTAATTCTGAACACTTCTGGAGATTGCCTGAACCCTTCTGAAGATTTATGAATATCACCTGACCATTATCAGACATCTCTCATGATCACCCTAATCCTATAAAGATTTCGAAAGAATCCTGAAGGTCAACCATAGATTGCCAATTAAGATTTACCAAGTGACATTACTAGAAGTTTCCAAATATTTTTGGACAATTTTGAAGATATTAGGAAGGCTGAGGGCTGATTTACACGGTACGATTTTGTCGCATCCGACAAGCTTACAACAGTTTCATGTACATCAAACCTACAACTTGCTTATGACTGTCGTGTATGTCAAAAAAATGTCGTAGGATTTTAAAACATGTTTTAAAACGCTGCGACAATCATAGTTGAAATCTACAGAAAATGACATATTTTGTGACAAATTTTTCATGAGTAGGGGACGAAGGTGAAGTTTTCTTGCTTTAAACTGGCTGCTGAAGTTGTTTTTGACTGATTCACATGAAGTTGTTTCTCCAAAAGTACTGAACGGATTAAAGTGAAAAACAGCTCGTTAGAAAGTTTTTTCGAAGCGCAGGACAGCTAAAATATCTGTTTACTGTTTGTTAGCACTTTTGCTCTGAAAATCCTGGTGCAAACTTTTGCACATTTAATTTTGTAAGTGAAAATGTTGTGTGCATGTAAATGGTCCTAAGTCATGTCTTAGGCCTGTCGTAAGCTTGTCGCATGCGACAAAGTCGTACCATGTAAATCCGCCCTAGGGGACTACAGCCTACCTAAATGAGAAATTAAGGTATAGCCAAAGTTTTACATGTATTAACAAGTAATCGCACGATTATTCTCATGCAAATTGGAATAAACAAGCATTTTGGTCTTGTGCAATTTTGTTAGCGTTTGAAAAATTTGCTTGTGCTGATTTATTCCAAATTGCATTCAAAATCATTTGATTACTAATAATGACATTATTATTCATGCTAGTGAGAAACATTTTTGTGCTACTGAAAATGACTGTCGGGTTAGTACATCCCAAACAACATTTTTTTACACCCTGCCAACTTGTACTGTAAATTGAACTATTTGTAAATCTGTAATTCATTTCAGTCTACCCCTGCTGCACAGCAGGGTGATAGTGAGCCATATACAAATGTAGCATGACATCCTGCACTGCTTCAGAGCACAACTTGCAATTGTTTAATTTGCACACTTGTCAGAACCATTGGTGTTATTGTAATAAAATAACACATTTACATTGAAGAAAGCACTGCTCACGACTTAATTGTTGTGCATATATGTAAGATTTCTTGGCTTTACATATAGATATGATTTTTATATTTTATAGTGTTTGTAAAGTGCATTAGATCATATATTGTAATGAATTTTGCACTATATAAGTAATAAAATTATTATTATTATTATTATTATTGTGACAAAAATGATCAATGATTAATTAAAGGTCAGATTAATGTATGTTACAGTCCCTCGTGTGTGATTGATCAATCAGTGACTGTGCACGCTAATTTTTGTCTTAATTAATACCTACAAGTAGATTATGAGGTCGATATTCCTATTGTGTGATAGTTGACAAGGGCACTGCCTGAGTCAACAATCACACATAGAAATGGACAGCTCATAATCTAATGAATTGTTTTTATTAGTAAAAATCTACTAGTCGTTCAAAACTTTATCCAAATCCTCTTCACAGACGCTTTGAAAATGCTAAGTGTCCACCTTTTTGTTAACAACAGCACACTGCTAGGGCACTCACTATCTACAACAGATTATATAATAATCCAAGTAATTCTCGCATTTTGATTGGTTCTCGCCTATGATCTATTAGAGGACAGATGCACGATTGACGTCATCATTTCAAAGTTTTTCCCTCTGTGTTTTGAAATGGCAGAAAGTTTTGAGAATTTAGATAATGTTTTACATGACTGGGCAAAAGATAAAGTACAAAAAAGTCTTGTCGAGGCATTGAACAGGAACGAGAAGCATAGTCTAGCAGGAAGGAGAAAGATAAAACCGTTTCTTTTTTAGAAAATGACTCAGAACAAATACTCGAGCAGTCTCAGTCGGCAGTCGAGCGAGACTAAACCAAACACAAAGTTAGTCTTGGTAAGCTGAGAACCATTGCTTTATCTCGAATTTAACAAACCCAATAAACAAAATGTTTATGAGATTAATTTATTTAAAACACTGA